CCATATGAGTATCTCCCTGGCTGCCTGGGAATCGAACCTGCGCTGCAGAGGCTGCGGACAGCTTCATAGGGCTGTGCTCAACTCCCTGTGCCACCGGGGAGGCCTGGAATTATTTGATTCTTAAAGACTTCTAGAAAATCCTATAAAACCATATAGACCTGGTGCCTTATTAAGTAGAAATACTTTCCTTTTTTAGTTTAATTTTTCATCAGAATAATAATCATATTGTATAAGGAGTCAAAGAGTACTTCAAAACTTACAAAGAAAGCAACAACCCTTTTCCTACTCTTCTCCATTCCTGTTCCCCAGAGACTGGTACTTTAAATTATTTTATTTTTTTAAAGATTTATTTATTTATTTATTTATGCAAGCACTGGGTATAGTCAGAAGCATGGGAGGGTGAGAGAATTCACCAGAGCCAGAGTGGAGAGTAGAACAGGCAGAAGGACCGAAGTACACTGCTGAGGGGAGCAGTGGGCGGCAGGAGAGGTCTGTGCACAATGTGGGACCCTCCTCTGGTGGCCGGGGAGCAGCCGGGGATCGAACCGGTGCTGCAGAGGCCGCAGGCAGCTTTGCAACCCAGTGCTCTACCGCTGCGCCACCGGGGAGGCCCTACTTTAAATTATTTTGACTGTTTTTTCTTACATAAGTAAGTAAAAGAAGGAAAGGCGGAGACATTTGTCTTTACAGAAAAGTACCACTTAATAAATTTAGAAATAATGACAAAATTAGAAAATTGATATTTTGTAATATCCAATGCAATGACTGACTCTGGCAATGATGGTCAATGGATGCTGCAATCATTAGAAGAAAAATCATTAATAAACATTATTCACATGATCTCAAAATACAGCCCATATAATAAGGTATCTTTATATTGGAGAGATCCAATAGTCACCAATTTAACCAAATGACCAAACTTAGTATCACCATAGTAAGTTCTACTTGATATTATGTATCTCCTCTCTTGAAGCAATAGGATATATATGGATTTAACTGTATACTAATACTCTTGACAAAACTGGTTTAATATGAATCTAACCATCAGAAAACAATGAGACAAAGCCAGAATGTGGACCATTTCTCTTGAGTCTTCCAATAAGTTAGTTGTAAAAAATAAACAAAATATATAGGACTACATCAAAAGACACTAAATAACAACTAAATGCATTATATTAGAACATTGATTTTGGATCTGTTTGGTAGTTGGGGTAAGAAAAAAATATGAGACATTTTAGGAATAATTGAGAAAATGAAATGATTTATGAATTAATGTTAATATTTTTAGGCAAGATAATGATATTGTGATATCAGATTACAGGAGAATATCCTTACTCTTAGCAGAGGCTTACTGAAATTTAGAGATGAACTTCTGTGACTACGCTTAACTATTACATAGTTTAGGGAACAGAGGTGTGTATATTAATGTGTATGAGTTACCAAGTTACTGTGCCTCCGCTCCAGTCTTAATCTTGCATCCTTTACAATGGGGTTGGGACTTTCTGCTTTGACAGTTAACTCTATGAGAGGCTTTACCTCTCTAAGGCAAGACTAGAAGAAAGAGAACTTGGTTCTTTCTGTCTGCTTCCTAATAGAATCCACACATAAAAGAATAGTTAGGGACCTTCCTGGTGGCACAGGGGTTAAAATCTCAGTGCTATCAAACTGTTCCCAGCCACTGAAGCATGAGTGAGTTCAAATTTGCTCCCCATCCACAGCCAGGGAGCTGGCCCACATGGTGCAGCAGACCTCTCCTATCTTGCCTACTGTTCCCCTCGGGAGTGTATTTCAGTCGGTCTGCCTATTCTGCTCCCCAGTCAGTCTCTGGTGAATCCTCTCCCCCAAAACCTCTGGCTTACACCCCAGCTCTTATATGCATAAATAAAATAAATCTTAAAAAAAAAGACAAATTGGACTTCATGAAAATTTTAAGTTTTTCATTCATGAACGAACAATATCAACAGTAAGAAGACAAAGGATAGAATAGGAGAAAATATTTGTATCTCATTAGGGATTAATATCTAGAATATATAGAGAATTCCTAAGACTCAATACCAGCAAACAGCCTTGTAGAAAAATGGGCAAAGGACTGGAATAGAAATTTCTCCCAATATGTACAAATGGTCAATAAGCGCATGAAAAGATGCTCCTAGTGTTACTACTCATGAATTGAAGGAAATGCAATTAAAAACAGGAGGTAACTATCTGACTACTATCTGACTTCTATCTGAAAAATTGAAAATAGCAAATGTTGGTGAGGATGTAGAGCAAATTGGAGCCCTTGTGTACAGTTGGTGGGAATGTAAAATGCTATAGCCACAGGAAAATAGTATGGTGGTTCCCCAAAAATTAAAGTGTTATTACCATGTGATCTACCAATCCAACTTCTGACTTTAGTTGCAAAAGAATTGAAAGTGGAGGGGCCTCCCTGGTGGCGTAAGGGGTTAAGCATCAGCACTGTGAAGCAATCTGCAGCTACTAGAGCACAAGTTCGATCCCCAATCAGGGAGCTACACCCATGGCCCAGCAGACCTCTCCTGTCTCACCTGCTGCTCCCCTCAGCAGTGTATCTCAGTAGATCCACCTGTTCTGCTCCCCACTCTGTCTCTGGTGAATCCTCTCTGTCCTGTACCCCAGTTCCTGTATAGATAAATAAATAAATCTTACCCAAAAAAAGAATTGAAAGTGGAATTTAAACAGGTATTTATACACCAATATTCAATGGCAGTATTATTCACAATAGCCAAAGGTGGAAACAACCCAAATATCCATCCACAGATGAATGGATGACCAAAAGGTGGTATATTCATGCAACGAAATAGTATTCAGTTGTAAAAAGGCATGAAATTCTGGTACATATCACAACATGGATGAACCTTGAAAACATTATGCCAAATGAAATAAACCAAGCATAAAAGAACAAATATTGTTTGATTCCCTTTATGTGAAGCACCTAGAATAGACAAAGTCATAGAGACATAAAATATAAGTTACCACAGGCTGGGGGAGGGAGGAATGAGGAGTTACTGTATAATGAGTATAGAGTTTCCATTTGGGATTATCGAAAAATTCTGGAAATGAGAGTAATAATGATTGTACAGTATTGTGGACTACTTAATGCCACTGAACTATATACTTTAATATGGTTAAAATGAAAATTTGTTATATATATTTTTCACAATAAGAATTAGAAAAAAATTGTTCCATATCACTCAACCTTTTTTTTTTTTTTTTACATTTTAAAAGAACTGGTTTATTAAGAAAAGGAGAGGGCCTCCCCTGTGACACAGTGATTGAGCGCTGGGTTGCGAAGCTCCCCACAGCCTCTGCAGCGCTTGTTTGATCCCCGGCCACCCGGCGAGGGTCCCACTTGGCGTGCAGACCTCTCCTGCCGCCCACTGCTCCCCTCGGCAGTGTATTTCATCAGTCTGCCTGCTCTGCTCTCCACTCTGACTCTGGTGAATTCTCTCACCCTCCCGTGCTTCTGACTGTACCCAGTGTTTATATAAATAAATAAATCTTTTTTTTTAAAAAAAAAAGACACCTGCATAGACACAGAAATGACAGTCTAAAGGCAGTCTTGGGACCACTTGCTCAAAATTTTTATAACATTCCAGAAGAAAAATTGAAAAATTTAAAAAGAATAGAGCATCCATTTACTTTTCAAAACTTTGAATCATTTACTGAGTTAAGCTTGGTGTCTAAAGAAAATGAATTATTGCGACTTAGTTCTTCATCGCACTGAAGAACAATTATGAAACATGGTCTATTATCATTTTGGATTAAGTGTAAAGAATATCTATTGTTAGGTAAGAATAGTTTTATTACTATTTACAACTTCTTTGTTTGAACAAGGATTTTTCATGTTTAATCTAATTAAAACAAAAGAAAAAAAATAAGTCTGCAGTACACCAGATATGCATGGGGTATTATCCTCATTTTTTCTAGGGTAGAATAAATTTAGAACCGGCATGAACACCTTTGAATTAAATGAAGTACTATTTTACTTTTTGTGTTATTTATTTTGAGATTTCTACATATTGTTTACAAATACTTAAAATCACTTAATATTGACTTACAGTATATGACAAAAATAATGTTTTGTGGCATTTCATATACATACACAGGCATCATTCTGAATCACAGTGTAAAAGGATTTGTAATAGTAAGTCTTTTTTAAAAAAGATTTATTTTATTTATGCCTGCAAGAGCTGGCGTGTAGGTCAGAAGTGCAGAGGCGTGAGAGGGTTCACCAGGGACAGCGTGGGGAGCAGAGCAAGCGGAACTATCGAAATACACTGCTGAGGAGAGCAGCGGGTGAGAGAGGAGAGGGCCAGACAGGAGAGGTCTGCTGTGCCGTGTGGGTTAGCTCCCTGACAGGGGAAATAGAACTTATGCTGCAGTGGCTGGGGATAGCTTGATAGCTCTGAGACTTTAACCCCTGCCCAGCAGGGAGGCCCTGTATACTTATATTTTTAACTTGCTAAGTTAAGGAAATTTCAGTTACTTGCAAAAATAGTACAGAGGATTGCTGTGTAATACCTTCCTTCAAATTCCCCAAATGTCAATATTTGACTGTATTACTCTTATGATTCTCTCCCCATCTTCTTTCTCCTCCCACCCCCATTCTCTGCCTCCCTTGTCTCTGCCAGTCACTTACTCAAATATTTTGAACAGTAAGTGGAGAATACATCTTGGTGCAAAGACTTTATATTATTTCTTTCTCCACATCAAGGCTTCTTTGTGATGTATTATTCAAGGGTAGTTCATTGGCCAGTGCTTATGAAATAAAGAATAAAAATTAGCACTCTGACCTCTGAATTGAAATTCTAGTCCATATGTCTCTGAGACCACAAAATTTCTCTCCAAGTCACAGCATATAATACGAACAACCTCATGTGTCCCACGATTTTGCAAACACTCCTTGTTCAAGTGCAATGGTTAAGAACTTTCCTTAAAATAAGTTTGTATGTTGTTTCTCTGTTTGTTTGTTCATGAAGACCTGAAGATGAAATGTTTTTGAAAAGGCTTTCTAGAGGTTACCTTGTGGAAAAGGACCCTGATGCTACTCTTTTCTACAGAGAACAAGGAAACAAAAAATTTCAGAAGAAGGATTATATGGGAGCCACAGTACTGTACTCTAAGGTAAAGCAATCCCAGCTCAGCTCAGCTGTCTCAACAGTTTAACAATGTATATTTTTCAAAAGATAGACTCATATTGCAAAATTATATAGAGCCTGTGTTAGCTTTGTTTATAGTTTGTGGATTGACTTTTTTTAATTGACTTAAAAAAAAAAAACTGGTAGAACTGTTCCTTTAACTATATTCTGAAATAGGGCAGTTAAATAAAATGTCCTGAGTTCTATCAAGAAATTTCTATTCCCGTATTTCTTCAGACTCTTTGTAGCATGAAGCTTGTTGTCCTACCTTACCCATGTCTGTCAGTCTCTCATCTGTCATTGAATTGTATGCCATTTTTGTCTGAATGACTTATGAGACAGTTACTTTGGCCTTCTTGAAAATAGCCAGATTTTTGGTTAACCAGTGTTAGCTTGCAACCAGTATTACTTAGATTAAATTAGAAAGGAAAATAAGCTCAATTTCCACTGCCTGGTTGAATTCCATTTTGAAGGTTGTCAGCAAATATTTAAAATTACCCTAAGCAGTATTTTTCAGCCGATCTGCCTGTTCTCTTCCCCATTCTGTCTCTGGTGAATCCTCTCACCCTGCACACCTCTGGCCTGTACCCTGGTTCTTGTATACATAAATAAATAAATCTTTAATTAATAAATAAAATTACACTAAGCAATACTGAGCTAGATTTTGAGGAGGAATAGTGACTTTTCACAATCTGTTGCTCTTATTGTCCTATTTACATAGTAGGAACTGAAATAAGATCTCTGAGAGACTTCTTCCCATAACTTTTTATAGATAGATATGAACTTAATAGGTAGCATGAATATATGGACTTGTACCAACATCTTACACATTAAAAGAATGAGTGTAAAGTTGAAAAGCATACCTCTATTCTGAACAGGCCTGTACTTAAAGTTTGAAATTAATTTTCCAGAACTGTCATGCCCCAAATTGCAACTTCCATAATAGCTGATAAAAGTCCTGCTTTGAAAGGTTACAAGAAAGAATCTAGCTAAATAATGTAATCATTAGTGATTACAGAAGAATTAAAGTCCATTAGCTGTAATGATCTAATAAATAGCTTAATTTTTTTTAGAGCTAATCTCTTCAACTTTATGTATGTGCATCATGAATGTGTTTGTATGGGAAGTTGTTCAAGGAAAATAAATAGTGAAATCAGACACAAATTTGAGGTTTGCTCTGAATTTGGAAGAGATGAGCCTACTTAACTCATGAAGCTAATATTTTGATAATGACAGTCCTTTGCAATTTTTTTATAAAACTGCTATTTTCTTTTTTAAAATAATATTTGTTGGTTTTGTCTGATTGTAAATGTAATGTATATTTACTTGGAAAATATACAGAAGCACAAAGAGTGAAATATCCCATAACCATTGATAGGCACTGTTAACATTTTTGTTTCTGTCCATTCAGCCAGACTGCCTCACCTCAGAAAATGTTTTTCTTTTACAAAGTTGCAATAATGCTGTACTTACTGTTTTGTAATCTGCTTTTTTCCCTCAGTGATTTATTGAAACCATTTTGTCATGTTATTAAATTTTCCACTAGCACGTGATTCTTTACAGCAGTCTTAGTGTTCCATTATCAAGAACTGTACTTGGGGCCTCCCCGGTGGCACAGCGGTTGAGTGCTGGGTTGCGAAGCTGCGCGGTCTCTGCAGCGCCAGTTCAATCCCCGGCTGCTCCCCGGCCACAGGAGGAGGGTCCCACATGGTGCGCAGACCTCTCCTGCCACCCGCTGCTCCCTCAGCAGTGTACTTCGGTCCTTCTGTCTGCTCTGCTCCCTGCTCTGGCTCTGGTGAATTCGTTCACTTCCAGTGCTTCTGACTGTACCCAGTGCTTGCATGAATAATAAATAAATAAAAAAAAAAAAAAAAAAAAAAAAGAACTGTACTTGATTTAGCATCTCCTAATATTGGCAGATTGTTTGGTATCATAAAGCTGCAATGAACATCTTTCTCCATAAATATTTTTACACATCTGTTTATTCCCTTAGTATAAATTCCTAGAATGGCCATTCTGGGTCAATCAGATGCATTTTTTAAAGGTTTATGGTCTTTATACTGAATTTTCTTTAGAGTAGAACTGGTTAACATCCCTTCTAGCATAGTGTGGGAATGTTCATTTTTCTCTGTCCTCAGCAATACTGTTATTATGGCTTTTATTATTATTTTATCTATTTTTGAGTAGGAAATAATTCATAGCAAGAATATATAATGTGATCTACTCCTCCTATCCTCTAGACCTAACTTCCCATCCGTGGAAGCACCTTTGAATGTATCTTTCCAGAGGTACTTTGACATATATACATATATACAAATAATCTCCCACTCCTGCATACACATACTCTTCTTACATAAAAAGACCATTCTATACACACTGCCAGCACCACATTTCTTTTCACTTAGTATCTTTTTTTTTTTTTTTAAGATTTATTTATTTATTTATTTATACAAGCACTGGGTATAGTCAGAGGCGCGGGAGGGTGAGAGAATTCACCAGAGCCAGAGCAGAGAGTAGAACAGGCAGAGTGACGAAGTACACTGCTGAGGGGAGCAGTGGGCAGCAGGAGAGGTCTGCGCGCCATGTGGGACCCTCGCCTGGTGGCCAGGAATCGAACCAGTGCTGCAGAGGCTTCGGGCAGCTTCACAACCCAGCGCTCAACCACTGTGCCACCAGGAAGTCCCTCACTTAATATCTTAAGATCTTTCTTATATCAGTACTTGAAGACCTTCCTCACTCTTTTTTTTTCCAGTGACTACATGGTATTTCATTATATGGATATATAGTATTTATTCAGTTAGTATCCTGCAGATCAGTATTTAAGTTGTATCTTATTTCTGTTTCATATAATTCTGTGATAGCAAACTTTGTGTATTATTCAGTACATATCTATAGGAAAAGTGATTGTATCTGTAGGATAAATTCTTAGAAGAATTGCTAGGTCAATGGAGATACGTATGTTGAAAGATGTATATGTATACCTTAGTTGTTTCCATAATCACAATATCCATTTACCCTCCCACTGGCAACTTCTGAGAATGCCTATTATTCCATTCCTTTGCTCCAACTCACTGTGCTGTCAGTTTCCTTTTTGTCACTCTGATAGATTAAAAAAACATTATCTCAATAGTTTCAATTTGCATTTTACTGACAATGAGGTATTTCCCATTAGAACACTCTGCTCATATCATTTGCGTATTTTCCTGTTGACTGTCATTTTATTGATCTGTAGAAACTGTTCATAAAGTAAAGAAATGAGCCCTTGCCCATGATATGAATTGAAAATATTTTTCCAGTTCAGTTTTTGTCTTTTGATATTGCTCTTATTGGCTTCTGCTATAAAAATTTTTTTGTGTAGTCAAATTAGCCTTTTATGACTTCTGGTTTTTGTGTCACGAAAGAGATTCCTGGGCCTCCCTAGTGGTGCAAGGGGTTAAGCACAGCACTGTGACGCTATTCACAGCCTCTGCAGCATGAGTTTGATCCCCAGCCAGCCAGGGAGCTACCCATATGGCATATCAGACTCTCGTTTCTTGCCCGCTGCTCCCTCAGCAGTGTATTTCAGTAGATCTGCCTGCTCTGCTCCCTACTCTGTCTCTGATAAATCCTCTCACCTCCCCTCCTTCTCACAGGCCCTCCCCTTCCCCATCCCGCACCTCTGGCCTACTCCCCAGCTCTTGTATGCATAAATAAATAAATCTTGAGGAAAAAAAATCTGATTCCTTATTCCAACATTATTTTATTTATTTATTTATTAATATTTTTAGGGCCTTCCCGGTGGTGCAAGGGGTTGAGCACAGCACTGTGAAGTTGTCCGCAGCCTCTGCAGCACTAGTTTGATCCTCGATCCCCAACGGCCAGGGAGCAGCCCACATAGAGCAGCAGACCTCTCCTGTCTTACCCGCTCTCTGTTCTGCTCCCCACTCTCTCTGGTGAATCCTCTCACCCCCTGCACCTCTGGCCTGTACCCTAGTTCTTGTATGCATAAATAAATAATCTCAAAAAAAAAATAAAGATTTATTTTTATTTATGCATACAAGAACTGGGGTGTAGGCCAGAGGTGTCAGGGGTGAGAGGATTCACTAGAGACAGAGTGGGGAACAGAACAGGCAGATCTACTGAAATACACTGCTGACGGGAGCAGTGGGTGAGACAGGAGAGGTCTGCTGCACCATGTGGGCTAGCTCCCTGGCTGGAGATCAAATTCCACGGTGGCTGGTGATAGCTAGATAGCTCCACCGTCTTTAACCCCTGCACCACCAGGGAGGCCTTCCAATGTTACTTTAGACTATTGCTATTGTTTTTTCTGGTGCTTTTATAGTTTCATTTTTCACATTCAGATTTAGAGTCAGAATTTATTCTAATGAAGCTTTATCATCTATGCAGAGCCAACTTTATTTTTCCTCAGTGATTACCTAATTATTCCAATATTTTCGTTGAATGATCCCCATCTTTTCTCTACTGATTTGAAATGTCACCATTATAACTTATCAATCCTTGCCAATTTGGTGGTAAAAAGAAGGTACCTTTTTCTGCTTTCATTTTCATTTATTTGTCTGTCCATATGTGAGCTATCCTTTTGTTTTCCATATATCACTAGGAAATATGCTATTTTTTCTTTTTTGAAGTTCTGTGTGTGCCACTTACCATTTGTTATATGTAAGATTATGCTTGCAATATTTCCCTCCATTTTCATTTACCTTCAGTATTGTTTATGTCTGAAGCTGTGTCTGATGCTCTTATCTTCCAGGTTTTTTTTTTTTTTAAAGATTTATTTATTTATACAAGAACTAGGGTAAAGGCCAGAGGCTTGGGAGGATGAGAGAATTCACAAGAGATGGAGTGGGGAGCAGAACAGACAGACTGAAAACACTGATGAGGGGAGCAGTGGGCGAGGCAGGAGAGATCTGCCATGCCATGTGGGCATTTCCCTGGCCTGCCAGGAATTGAACTGGCAGAGATAGCGGACAACCTCACAGTGCTGCACTCAACCTGCTGTGCCACTGGGGAGGCCCTTTCCAAGTATTTTGAATATTCATTTCCTTACTCTAGCTTCACAGCATTGCTATAAGGTTGTTAAAAATAAAGCTAAAGCACGAAGAGATGCAGTAGTTTTCCCAATTTCTTACACACTTTAATAGTGAAACACCTATTGCCTGAAAAAAAAAATGCTTTCAAAATACTAGTTTTCATTTAAACCTTTAACCAGTTCATTATTTTGCAGGGAATATCACATTCAAGGCCGAACACTGAAGACATTTCACTGTGTTATGCCAATCGCTCTGCAGCCCTTTTCCACCTGGGTCAGTTTGAAGTGAGTATCACAGTGTGAATGGAGAGGGTCTGTGGAGGGGGTCGCTTGAAGACTAGACATAAAACACTAAAATTGAGACATGCTGCTGAATTGGTTAAATGGAAGCAAATTGACATCTTCACAAATTATTCTCTTTCTCCTGATTCATTTCACCTATCACAAGTGATCATTGGGTTGGTGTTGACTGACAAGGAAAAGTTATGGTACATTCTACAGGGCCACGTATTAAACTCAATGGGTCAGCGGTTCATGGTGTCCAGATCAACTGTGAGATATGTTACTAATAATATTTCATGTTCCAAGTATTGGCAGAATTTTTACTTGCTTGGATATTTGTTTTTTTAATTAAGTAGAGTATGTTCAAGATTATTTCTACTGGGGCCTTCCTGGTGGCACAGGGGTTAAAGACAGCGCTATCAAGCTATCACCAGCCACTGCAGTATGAGTTTAATCCCGACCAGTCAGAGAGCAACCCACATGGTGCAGCAGACCTCTCCTGCCTCGCCCACTGCTCCCCTCAGCAGTGTATTTCAGTAGATTTGCCTGTTGTGCTCCCTACTCTCTCTCTGTTGGATTCTCTCAGCAGCCCCACCCCCCCAACCTCTGGCTTATACCCAGTTCTTGTATGCATAAATAAATAAATCTTTATAAAAAAAAAGATTTCTATAGTAATGTAGCTCATGCATATATGCGTTTTGAGTTGGGAAAGTAAGAGTTGCCTTGAAATGCCCGTATATACCTATGAAGACATGGGCCTTATGTGAGTTACTTTCTCTTCATACCCTAATTGAAGTCTAAGAATAAGCTCTAAATGACATTTGGTATATTCATTTTGGTATTCCAGAGAAAGTTAAATTATACCCTAGAGTTAAGAACTGTTTGAATAGGCAACTATGAACCAGAGACACTTTTTTTTTTTTTAAATCGTCACTTCTCTTTTTTTTTTTAAGATTTATTTATTTATTTATATAAGCACTGGGTACAGTCAGAAGCACGGGAGAGTGAGAGAATTCACCAGAGTCAGAGCGGGGAGCAGAACAGGCAGACCGAAGAAGAAATACACTGCTGGGGGAGCAGCGGGTGGCAGGAGAGGTCTGCGCACCATGTGGGACACTCGCCCGGAGGCCGGGGATCGAACCAGTGCTGCAGAGGCTGGGAGCAGCTTCGCAAGCCAGCGCTGAACCGCTGCGCCACCAGGCGAGGCCCCAGAGACACTTTTTGTGGGGTGAGGGGTGGGAGGGGAGGGATTGGGGTCAAAATGGGGGGGTTGCAATTGTATGGGGAATATAAAAATAAAATTTATTAAAAAAAAAAAAAAAGAACTGTTTGAATAGGGCCTCCCTGGTTGCACAGGGGTTAAAGTCTCAGCACTATCAAGCTATTACCATTGCAGTATGAGTTCCATCCCCAGCCAGTGAGCTAACCCGCATGGGGCAGCAGACCTTTCCTGTCTCCCTGCTGCTCCCCTCATCAGTGTATTTTTTTTTAAGGTTTATTTATTTATACAAGAACCGGGGTACAGGCCAGATGTGCTAGAGGGTGAGAAGATTCACCAGAGACAGAGCGGGGAACAGAACAGGCAGACTGATGAAATATACTGCTGAGGGGAGCAGTGGGTGAGGCAGGAGAGGTCTGCCACGCCATGTGGGATTCTCGCTGGCCAGCCGGGATCAAACTCTTGCTGCAGAGGCTGCAGACAGCTTCAGAGTGTGGTGCTCAACCGCCTGCGCCACGCAGAGGCCCCTCTCATCAGTATATTTTAGTAGATCTGCCTGTTCTGCCCCCCACTCTGTCTCTGTTGAATCATCTTACCCCCAACACACCTCTAGGCTACACCCCAGTTCTTCTATGAAAAAATAAATAAAATCTTTTTTTTTTTTGAAAGAAAAAAGAAGTCTTCCCTGGTGGTGCAAGGGGTTAAGTCTCAGCACTATGAAGCTATCTGCAGCCACTGCAGCACAAGTTCAATCCCTTGCCAGGGAGCTAACCCACATAGCGCAGCAGCTCTCTCCTGTCTAGCCCACTACTCCCCTCAGCAGTATATTTTAGTAGATCTGCCTGTTCTGCTCCCCACTCTGTCTCTGGTGAATCCTCTTACACACACCCTCTACACCCCAGCTCTGGCCTACACCCCAGCTCTTTTATGCATAAATAAATAAAATAAATCTTTTTAAAAAATAACTAAAAAATCACTCAATAGGATATGACTTCAAGAAATAAGCAGATGGTTAGAATTGCTCCATTTTTAATAACTTTTAATAATCTTTCCTGTAGATTTTGGTTAAAATTTTTACGTAGGCATTGAAGAATAAGGACCAAGGGTCATTTGGGGATTTCCTGTCTGTTTTCAGACATGTCTTAAAGACATCATCAGAGCCCAGATGCATGGATATCCGGAGAGATTGCAACCGAAGATGATGTTGCGTAAGGCAGAGTGTCTGGTGACTCTGGGGAGATTACAGGAGGCAAGCCAAACCATCAGTGATCTTGAAAGTAACTTTATTTCCAAACCAACTCTAGAGCCTACCCAGTTTCAGAAGATGCAGAGAAATCTCTGTCATCTGAAAATGAAGATACAAGAAAAGGAGAATCTCACAGAAACCTTCCCAGCAACTCTAACCAAAACCTTTGAGGATATGAACCTAAGGGAAGAAAATGGACAAATTTCTGGCGCCTCATCATCTGTTAGCTTACACACAGACCCTTTAAAAGGTCGCTATCTGATTGCCACAAAAGATATTCTCCCAGGAGAGCTCCTGGTGAAGGAGGACGCTTTTGTGAGTGTCCTTACCCCAGGAGAAATGCCACCACTACATCATGGCCTAGAGAGCAAATGGGATACCACAATTACCAATGGGGACCTCTATTGTCACCGATGTTTAAAGCACACTTTAGCCACAGTTCCCTGTGATGGGTGCAGCTATGCCAAGTATTGCAGTCAAGAGTGTATGATGAAGGCCTGGAATCTCTACCATAGTATAGAGTGTTCTTTAGGGGGGCTGCTTCTTACACTGGGTGTCTTTTGCCACATTGCCCTGAGAGCAACTCTTTTAGCTAGATTTGAAAATGTTGGCAAAGTCATAAGTAATCTTTGTGATGAGATTAATGACAAGGACATCTGTCTTCCTAAAAGCGAGCATCTGGCAAAAATTCTCAGTTATGACCTGGGAAAGGAGAGTGAGAAAAGTGACAGAACAGCTGAGACCCCAATTCCTGGATGTGACATTAATGGAAAATATGAAAATAATTATAATGCTGTCTCCAGCCTTTTGCCTCATACTGAAAACCACAGCCCAGAGCACAAATTTCTCTGTGCTCTCAGTGTGACTGCACTGTGCAGGCAATTGGAAGCAGGCAGTTTGCAGACCTTCACAATGGATCTGAAGTCCTCTAAACCTGAAGCAGCAGAACCTCCTGCCTTTTGTCCAGAGTTGACTATTTGGGGAGTGGCCATGCTGAAACACATGTTGCAGTTACAATGCAATGCTCAGGCAATAACCACCATACAGCAAACAGGTAAGAGGGAAATTTTTTTTTTTTTGTCTGAAAGTATTCTTGACATACCAAATGTTTAGGGAGAATGAGTGGTAAAGGAAAACAGTAGTATTCAAATTAGTGGTCTTGGGCCTCCCTGGTGGCCTAGAAGTTAAGTCTCAGTGCTATCATCTCTATGACCTGAGTTCAATCCCTGGCCAGGGAGCCAACCCACATGGCACAGTAGACTTCCTGTCTCTCCTGCTGTTCCCCTTAGCAGTGTATTTCAGTAAATCCACCTATTCTACTCCCTACTCTGTGTCTCTCACCCACTACACCTCTGGACTACATGCCAGTTCTTCTCGACAAAAAAAAAAAAAAAAAAACACCAAATTAGTGGGCTACCGGGAAGGCAATGGTGTCTTGTATTGCTGTTGAATAGTTACGTGAACTTAACAAATTATTTAATCCCACTCTGCCTTGGAATTCTCATCTGTAAAATGGATAATCTCACCTAACTTTATAGAGATTTTGAAAACGATGTGTTTGTATATATACTTAAAAATCCTATGGATACGAGGGTGATGTGGCTGTAACTTGTCACTCCATTGATTACCAAGGTTGATTCATCTGATCTGACTGCCTGGGCCAATGTCCTCTTCCTCTCCCACCACTCCATATGTGTGTCTCCCTCCCAAAGCTGCACACTTTGTTGAAGAGGATGGCCTTCCCTGAATAGAGACAAACCATTCTTTGGTCAAGGGTATAGGAATAGCTGTGCTCCCCTGCTAGGAACTCCAGACTGGTTCTCAAGGTTAAAAACCTATTACTGAGGGGTTTTGATTGTAAAGGAAAACTGAAACAATAATCAAACCAGACTGTAGAAAGACTGGGGCCTATAATTGAGTTAAGGTATCAGGATCTTAACTCACTCTGTGACTCATCTGCTCTGTCTCTTCTCTCCAACTGAATTTTCTCTATTCTTCTGTTTTAAATTTCCAAGAGAGGAATCTCACCCAGCACAACTTTTCACATAATTCTACCATAAGCTGTTGGCTCACCTATATTTAGACCGCCCTCTGGTCAGGTAGCCAACCATATAAAGGCCACCTCAGGAAACAGACCAGCCTAGCCCTGCTTTCCTGAACCAGAACCTACAGATACCACAGTTCAATGTAGATCCGGAGATGCCCAGCATTGTGGTGGCATCTCTAATATCACTGTACTGACAACAGATATTGTTATTACAAAGGAAATGGTGATTCCAATATTTCTGTTGTATGAGCTCCATTTTATAGCAAATAATGTTTTTTTTTTTTTTTTTTTTTAGCAAATAATGTTTTTCAATTCAATCAATTTGTTTTACTTTTCTCAGTTTTCTAATTAACTTTTGAGAAGAGGAAGAGTAGCATATTAACTAAACCTAGAATTTATATACAGAATTAATATTTTTAAAGATTTGAGGTTTTTTATTTATGCATATAAGAACTGGAGTGTAGGCCACAAGTACAGAGGGTGAGAGGATTCACCAGAGACAGAGTGGGGAGCAGAACAGGCAGATCCACTGAAATACACTGTGGAGGGGAGCAGTAACTAAGACAGATGAGGTCTGCTGTGCCATGTGAGTTAGCTCTTTGGCAAGGGATCGAATTCATGCCACAGTGGCTGGCGATAGCTTGATAGTGCTGAGACTTTAACCCCTACACCTGGGAGGCCCTACAGAATTAATATTAACTGTGGTTTAACTAAACTGTGTACCCTTAATTCTTTTGATCTCACACTAGGTAATCTAGAATTTTGTCAATCTTTGGATTGGTTATTTTCATATTGAATTTTATTTCAGCTGCCAAGTTATATGATACATAAGCATTTCACAAGAGAGACTCTATTACCCACCCTGAGGCACATTGAACATCTAAAAATAGATGTTTTGGGCCTCCCTGGTGGTGCAAGGGGTTAAGCAATGCACTGTGAAGCAATCTGCAGCCTCTGCAGCACAAGTTCGATCCCCAGCCGGCCAGAGAGAAACCCACATGGCAAAGCAGACCTCTCCTGTCTCACCGACTGCTCCCCTCAGCAATGTATATCAGTCAGTCTGCCTGTTCTGTTCCCCACTGTGTCTCTGGTGAATCCTCTAACCCCCTGCATCTCTGGCCTATACCCCAGCTCTTGTATGCATAAAGAAATACATCTTTAAAAAATAAATAAATAAAAATAGATGTTTCATCCCATGATACTACGAAATTACATTTCAAGCTAGTCTCCATTTTCTTCTATGCCTTCTTTGGCTTTGAGCTATTGCCACCTTCTAAACTACATCTGTTGAGTATCCAGAATTATGTTTTCTTTTGGATACATATACTGTCATTTTTAAAAATAGTGTTTTCATTTGTCTGAATATTAAAAATAGTATAAGGAGCTTTCAGATTATAATTATAACTTTCTCTCACATGGGAGAAAGTTACCAGCTCTTGAGTCTGTTGCTTCTTGCCTCTAAAATACTTAATAGAAGGTACAAAAAAGATGCAAATGTCAGGGGCCTCCCCAGTGGTGCAGTGATTGAGCGCTGGGTTGCGAAGCTGCCCACAGTCTCTGCAGCGCTGATTCGATCCCCGGACACCGGGCGAGGGTCCCACATGGCACGCAGACCTCTCCTGCCATGCCCGCTGCTCCCCTTAGCAGTGTACTTCATCGGTCTGCCTGCTCTGCTCCCCACTCTGGCTCTGGTGAATTCTCTCACCCTCCCGTGCTTCTGACTGTACACAGTGCTTGTATAAATAAAGAAATAAATCTAAAAAAAAAAAAAAAAAAAAAAAGATGTAAATGTCAGTAGCTCTGAAAACTGTAGAAACTTATCCCTAACTCAAGCTGAATTGCTGAGGCAGAATGGCAGAGCTATGTTGAAAGAAAAAGTTTTCCTCGGAGGGGATTATGCTAAGCAAAATGAATCAGAAGGAAAAAAACATGCCACATGGTTTCACTTATATGTGGAGTACAGAAAAACAAAACAAAGGGTCAGGTAGAACCAAGCCAGTAACAAATACTAGAAATTTCTCTGTAGAATTAAGTTTACCAGAGGAGGAGTGAATGGGTGGAGAGCAAAGTGTGGAGAGGACTCAGTGGATTATGGTGGAGGACTATGGGTGCTTTGGTGATGGGTGTGATGGTAACATGCAGCTGAAGAGATGTGATCATGTACCTTTAAATTATGTACAGTGTTGTAAATCAGTGTTATTTCAATTAAAAAAAGAGCTTTCTATACACTTCCTCCGTTGACCTACCCCTTGCAAAGAATCTTAGCCTAAATGTTTTTCTCTATGTACTTGACATTTAATTATAGTCAGTGTTTAACTGCATAACAAGTTTTGGGTGAAATTTTTCACAAGTTTTTAGGAGTGAATTTTTGGATAGTGAAAGAATGTATAGCCAGGAATACCTGTATTTCTGTGGTTAGTAAGGAGTAGAAAATTAGATAGTATTCCGACTACCTGGCATGATAGAGGATTAGAGACTTAGGCTTTCTCTATAAAGTTATAATATTTCATGCATAATTATTCTTAACCTACATGATGCTTTAAAAAACACATACATGGGCCTCCCCAGTGGCGCAGCGGTTGAGTGCTGGGTTGAGAAGCTGCCCGCAGCCTCTGCACCAGTTCGATCCCCGGCTGCTCCCCAGCCACCGGAGGAGGGTCCCACATGGCGCGCAGACCTCTCCTGCCGCCCGCTGCTCCCCTCAGCAGTGTACTTCGGTCCTTCTGCCTGCTCTGCTCCCCGCTCTGGCTCTGGTGAATTCTCTCACCCTCCCGCATTTCTGACTGTACCCAGTGCTTGTATAAATAAATAAAAATAAATCTTAAAAAAAAAAAAAACACATACATAAAGGGGTGGGGGATACTAGAGAGCACAGTGTGGAGGGGTCCAGTGTACCATGGTGAAGGACTCTAAATGCCTAGGTAGTGGATGTGGTATAGCATACATCTGAAGAGCTGTGAACCTATGCCTTTGAATCATATACAGTGTTGTATACCAGTGTTACCTCAATAAAGCCAACAATTAGAAATAAATAATGTTGGGGGAAGTGTAAAAATATAATTTTGATTAAAAAAATAAATGACGGGCCTCCCTGGTGGCGCAGCGGTTGAGCGCTGGGCTGCGAAGCTGCCTGCAGCCTCTGCAGCGCCGGTTCCATCCCCGGCCGCAGGCAAGGGTCCCACATGGCGCGCAGACCTCTCCTGCCGCCCGCTGCTCCCCTCTGCAGTGTACTTTGTCAGTCTCCCTGTTCTGTTCTCCACTCTGGCTCTGGTGAATTATATCACCCTTCCGCGCTTCTGACTGTACCCAGTGCTTGTATAAATAAATAAATAAATCTTAAAAAAAAAAAATGACATATACATAGAATAAAACCACTGGAAGCAAAAATACCAAACTTAATTAATAGTGATTAATTCTAAAAGTGGAAATATGTGTGATTGCTACTTTCTTCTATGAACTTTTCTATATTTTTTCAATTAAAAACACTTATTCAGGATCTCCCTGGTTGTGCAGAGATTGAAGTCCCAAGCTGTCAGCCACTGTGGCATCAGTTCAATCCCTGGTCAGGAAGCTACCCACATGGCACAGCAGAGCTCTCATGTGTCGCCCATTGCTCCCCTCAGCAGTGTATTTCAGTAGATCTGCCTGTTCTGCTCCCCACTCTGTCTCTGGTGAATCCTCTCACCTCCCGCACCTCTGGCCTACACCCCAGCTCTTATATGCATAAATAAATAAAAATAAATCTTTAAAAATTAATAAATACACTTATTCACATAGTGATAACATCATTCTAGTGAATTTAAAATGTGTTGTAGGGCCTCCCCGGTGGCGCAGCGGTTGAGCGCTGGGTTGCGAAGCTGCCCTCAGCCTCTGCGGCGCCGGTTCGATCCCCGGCTGCTCCCCGGCCACCAGAGGAGGGTCCCACATGGTGCGCAGACCTCTCCTGCCGCCCGCTGCTCCCCTCAGCAGTGTACTTCGGTCCTTCTGCCAGCTCTGCTCCCCGCTCT